CGAGAGGCATCTAGAAACGGAGCGAAGGGGGTAGAGGTGGTGGGAATAGTGTGCAATGAACGAGGTGTAAAACGGGTAGCGTGGGTGGAGGTCTGTGGATACACGGAACAGGAAAGAGTTCATGAACGAGAAGAAAGTAATATTTGGTTGTGTTTTGGGGGTGGGAAAATAGGTGGTTGGGTTTCTGACTGGGAGAAAATGGTGGGAAAGCATCTGAGAGGATAAGTTGAAGGAGCTGGAGAACACATATTTATACGTGCGTAAGACTTGTGCATAAAACCGGCGAATAATCGGAAAAATTGCTGGTGAGTTGGAATGTGTTGGGTGTTACCAAGTACGAGCACAGTGAGAGAGCATAGAGGAACGGAAGATGACGGAAAGGAGATCATGAGAGACGCTGCTTGCCTAGGACGCTGAATAGATGCAACCTAGTAGAAGAGAAATCTATAAGGAGCGAAGTAGAGAAGGATGGAGTGAATACGACAGTACTTGCACAAGAAGACTCAGTGAGAAAGCAGAAAGAAAGGATTAATTACGTTAAGGATACGCGAGACACTGCAGGTCTAGAACACGGAGCAGATGCAACCTAGGAGAACGCGGGTCCATAGAGTGTGCGAAGTGGCGGGCTGGCTGGCGGGTGCGAGAAAGCACGGGCACAAGGGGGGCTTCGCTGGGAAGAATCAGGTCCCGCGGCGACGCGGATATTAAACACGCATTCCAGCCTCGCCGCAGCCACGCCCCCACTCCCGGTTCCTTCCCCACCCCCAGTAGTCTCTCCACCCTCGCCTCCGCCGCCCCGAGCCTGCGCCTTCCGCGCTCGCCACCGGGCTTACAAAGTAGTTATAGAAAACAACATGGGCGACCGAGACCGAGCTCGGTGGGGTAGTCCGATTGCGAGAGTGTTGAGTTGAACCCTTGAAGATCTACCGTACACTGTCAAGCCTCCTCAAAGTTGAGACGGAGCCTGCCGCGCGAAGTTTTACACGCACGTCCCTACATAGGACTGACGCTCGATGGAAGCAGGTCCGCGGGACATTTAGGTAAATTGCTATAGTCAACATGGTTTTCAGCCGTAAAAGTTTGAGTTACGATTTTCGTTTGTTTGATGTTTCAATCTAGAATATCCTTCCGTAATGTTTTGTTTCCGGCGAATATGACATTGAATATAATTCTGTCCAAGATCCATTCATGATGATTAATTGTTTTTATATGACTAATTCCCGCGCCCCGCCGCCCTGCGCCCGCCCGCCGCCCCCGCGCCCCGCCGCCCCGCGCCCGCCGCCCCCGCGCCCCGCCGCCCCGCCGCCCCCGCCGCCCGCCGCGCCGCGTTCGCCCACGTGTGCGCTCGCCCCGGGAGAGATTGAACTCCGCCTCCGGGTGTTCATCAGGCGCGCGGAGTCGCGGGAGATTTAGTACGTGCCGCTGCCGCGGGGCGCGCCCGCGTCCTCGCAAGCTACGATGGCGGCCTGAAATCTACGGCGCGGCGGCGGCGCCCCCGAGAGCGAGCAACGAGGTTTCGGTTGTAATTACAAGAAAGGGGTTAACTTTACAGTCGTGTACTGCGTATGGTTGCCAGATCTCACGAGAGAATCTTAAGTAATTGTATTGATATGCATGAAATAGAATATTGTACAGTATTGCTTAACTGCAAAAAACGTCCAACGAAATATTTTTTAAAAAAATTGTTACGAAAATATGTTTTAAAATTATATTTTCATCGTTCTTGCGTGTTTTCAATACTAGAATTATCGAATTTAAATAGACATTTTTCTAGAAAATTTATATTTCAAAATTTCAGTTTAACAAAATTAAATTTGTGTACGAATCTCTTTACTTTCATGCTTTGTCATATTACAACATCATTGATGAAATTGTTTGATTTCACCATTCACATTCAAGTACGTCATTCATTTTTCACCATATTAAAACAAAACTATCAATTGCTGTACAGTAAATAATAAGAACGTAGAAAAGAGAGAAACATTGAAATAAATTGCAAAGTTCAATTGATGTACTTGTAGGTATTGATGTTTTTATTTGGTTTGACCAATCGCATTCAAGTATATAATTCATTTTCCACCATATCAAAACAAAAGTATCCATATATATTCACAGGAAGTAACTGTGAAGAACGAGGAGAAAAAGATGATATACAAAATGTACTCACCGGTGTGGATGTAGGTGTGCTTCTTCATGTCGGACTTCTGGTGGAAGCGCTTTCCGCAGAAGGAGCAGGGGTAGGGGCGCGTGTCCGAGTGGATGAGCAGGTGCGTGGACAGCGTGGACGAGCGCTTGAACGACTTGCCGCATTGCTTGCACTCGAACACCTTTTCGACATTGTGAACAGCCCTGAAACACACACCCTTATGTTAAATCCTCCTACAAATTGATATCGTGCAGATGGATCTCTGATTCCTGTATAGTTGGATCTAAATAAGATTCTAAACGAGTTCCTGATCTAAAATTTTATTATTATTATTATTATTATTATTATTATTATTATTATTATTATTATTATTATTATTATTATTAGGTCCCATAGGAATATAGAGTCTCTTTATTATTCCTGTTCTTGTTTAATGACAAATCGTAACTGAACATTTAAATCTGTACAAAAATTACTATCGATATGTCATACAGATTGAATTTTTAAGTTTAATACAAAGTTTCAGTTAAGGATCTTTAGACACACTTGAGCGAAAAATGAATGTATGAAAAATATTCTCAACATAACTTTGCTTTATGTTTCAGTTCACATGTTCTCGTAAACGAAATATCCAAATCACATTTCCAAATAATATAGGAAAGAAATGTATTTAGGTTTATACGTGTTCTTTTCCTTTTTGGCAAAAACTGAGGAGCTGTGGGAGAGCCAAAAGCGCAAGAGAAACGTCAGCTTTCCCTCGACACATCGCGTCCCCCCCCCCGCCCCCACCGAGAAGATAAGAGATCATAAAGATTTCGTATTCTCCGCGCATCCCCTCACGTTGTGGAGCCTTATACAAAATTCGGCGGCCGAGGACTCGGGAATATTCGTGCCTGGCCACGTTCCTCGCGGGACCCCTCGGCGGACATCAGAACGCGCCCTTCGACGTCCCACGATTTGCGTCCGGGGGCGTTGAAAGTTTCACGAGTGGCGCCGAATCCCGCTCGCTACCTTGCTCGCCCGCGCCCGACGTCCGACACTCATCCCCCTTCCCCGCAACGTAGCAGTTGACCCCGCCCCACTCGCCTTGCCGCCCCCTCAATCCCTCCACTCCACAGACCATCGCCCCCCTCGCAACCAGACTCCGCCTCTCATTCTCTACCTACGCCGCGAACGATCCGCAAGACGGTGACTACGCTGCTACGTCAACCGTTCACCGGCTAACGAGGCAGTCGGACCCGCGCCCACTCGCCTTGTCCGTCCCTCAAATCCCCTCCATCACAGATTTCAAAAAACTCGCCACACTCGCAACCAGCCTCCGCCCCTCTGCATCTCTACGCTACGCCGCTCGTCGGAACGGTGCTACGGGCTGCTAGTCAACTGCGTTCACTCGCAACGTAGGCAGTCGAGCACGCCCCTCGCCTAGTGGTCGCCCCTCATCCCTCCACTTTCCAGACTCGCCCCTGCCGCAACAGCTTCCGTCTCTCAATCTCTACGCTCACGCCGCCTTACTGTCCGAACGGTGCTACGACTAGCACGTCCAACCTGTTCACGCGCAACGTAGCAGTCGAGAAGAGATTAGATCCCCGCCCACCTAGCGCCTGTCCGCCCCCTCAAAATCCCTCCCACTCCCCAGAACTCGCCCACCTCGCAACCAGCTCCGCCCTCTCATCTCTACGCTACGCCGCTACGTCCGCACCGGTGCTACGCTGCTACGTCCAACCGTCTCTCTCACACCATCCTCCTCGTCCGTTCCGTCGTTCCCTCAGCCCCTCCACCCGTCCCCACACGCACACTCGCGTTGTCTCCCTCGCGCCTGCCCGCCTCCCCCAGCGTCAACAAAGCCGGCCATCCCAACTCGCTGGAGCAGTAACCTAACAAACGGGCCACAGACCTCGCGAAATCTTTCCTTTCTCTTCATTCTCCGTTCCTCACTTCTTACTTACAAACTCTTATACTGACATGCACGTCACTATCTCACTTGACGGGAGACCGGTCGAGAGCTTAGAGGTTGTCTGGACTGGGGCTGGTGGGAAATGGCTGGTTGGGGAGCTAGCCGACGGTAAGTCGGCGTCTGATCTCGTCATCCAGCGGTAGAGGACCGCCTCCACCTCCCGAGGAAAAACATGAACTACTATCACAGGACTATTGATTTTAGTAGTAATGACGTACCCGAAATTATTCAAACAAATCATACAAAGTCGTCCATCCCGTTTTGCCCCCGCCGCTTAGACACCCTCACCTTCTCCAACCCTCGCCTCGCCCTCCAACTCTCGCCTCACCCTCCCAATACGCTGACAGCTGGTTGCCGTCACCCGCCCTCGACGTCGTGACAACCCGCAGTCGGTCGTCTCTCTACGTCACCCACGCACAAATCATCCACGCCTCCACCCGCTGATCGCTGCCATCTCCTGCCGCCCTCACATCGTCTCCCGATCTCTTTTTGCCCTTCACCGCCCTCACGCCGTCCCGCTCTCGCGACCACAACTCTAGTCCGAAGCAAACCCTGCTCTGGAAATTTTCTTACTTCCTACATGAGATCCTACTGCCTGCTCCTCTTGTTCGTTCATGTCTCTATGATTGCCCTCCAGCTCCTCCGTTTCCTGATTCTTTCATGACCTGGCACTCACCAACCCTCCCACCTTCCATCTCCTTTCTCTAGTAAGCGTGATCACGTCCGCCACCCACTGTCTCACTCCTTTAGAGCTTGTGCGAACCACCATCCAAACACCAACCACTGCCACCCACTATCCCACCTCTTCAAGCTTGACCTTCCCTGCAATCATGTGCTGTCTCCTTGAAGACCAACCGCGAATCCTCCACCTCCTCGTCTCCCTCCAACACGACCGCGCCTTCTGAACACCCAATTCCTTGACCGTACTTTGCCACTTCGGTGGTGCCGATTATCTGAAGCTTGGCCGCGACTCATACCTACCATCCTGTCTCCTCCAACTTGATCGCGTCTTTCGCCCACTAACCCGCCTCTTCAAACCTGATTGTGACTGCCACCCTTGTCCTGCTGCGTCGAAGCTTCACCGCGCTTCCCATCTACCATCTCTTCGGGTGCAAGCTTCGCCGAACTCCACATCTTCCCCCAACTGCACCGCCTCCCCAAGCTTGACCAATCTGCGTACTTGACTGCTCCTCCCCCCACTCCTCTACCTACTCCTTCCCTCCTCCTCTTCCTCCTCCTCCTCCTCCTTCTTCTTCTTCTTCTTCGTCAACCTCCACCGTGACCGCTACCCCCTGCTCGTACTCCTCCTTGAAGCTCAACATCTCCCACCCGCTCCCCTTCTCCTTCCAATTCGACTGTTTCTCCCGCTCAACCCACCCCACCACCTTGACTATAGCTCCAACACACCGACCTCGGTTGCTCGAAGCTTGGTCGTATCTCATACCCACCATTACGTCTCCTCATCCCTCCTACTCAAGCTTTTCCGCACCTTCCACCAACTGCCACGCCTGTTATGTTTGTCCGTGACTGCCAGCCCTGCCCATAGGCCTCCAAGCTTGATCGCGACTCCCACCTACCCAGTCCAAGCTTCTCCGCATCCCGCACCTTCCACCTACAGCCCCACCTTGTCTGTGACTCCACCAATCTTTAGTGTTGAGAGTTAAATCCTTTAGGTTTTTCAGTTATTATCATATATAGTATTAGTAATTAGTACATCAGGTGGTTTTATACATTAATTATGCATTATGAAATATAATAATTTGAGTCTCCTCTAGGTCATATCATAGAAGACTGACACCATCTCAGATTGATGCAATGTGTGAAAACTGTCCAATTTGATTATTGTCCCTTCCTAACCCAACTTATCTATTCAAATAAGATGCTAATTTAAATGGTTCTCTGACACTCTAGACAGGAACAGAAAACACGATAAATTTTGTCATATTGACTCGTAAACGAACGCATAATGTTCCATTCCCTATGGCGCAGTGCGCCTGTCTTTGACCATCGATGGCCCCCATGTATCCAACAGGGGTTGAGGAGACGTGGAGGGAGGATGGGGTTTTTGTTGGCCAGCATGAGGTATCTAATGTCTCGCGCAGGAACGCGTGCGAGGAGCGGTAGTACGCGGTGCAGACTACATGTTATCTTTGCACCTACGCACACTGCGGACCTTATATTTACTTACTGTCAGCTATTAATTCTACACGATATCCAAAGCCCACAGAGTAGCTCGATGCGTAAAATAATGGACTCTACTTCTGCCATCGTCTCGTAGGGGTGAATCCATTATGTATGTTTGGTCTGTGTTGCACTGACGTTTTGAGGTAGTGAGAGGGCGAGACGCGTTTCAATTTTAAGTCCACTGCATATAGACGGAACTGTAGTCAAGTTGTCTTGTGTTGAAACTTATTTTACATACGCACATCTTGTAACGCTGATATGATTGATCTGCGTAATAAATGAAACCTATTATTATTTCAATAATATAATGATATACATATTTCCATTAGTAGTTTTACATGATTTCCCCTTACCCCAAATCTAAATTATGCCGATATGGATAACGCTCTCGTCTGATGTGTTCATATAAGCTCACACATATTATCTTGTTCGTATACGAATACTATAATAACTATTTCATATTGTTTGTTCACTAATGTTTTGAGTAGCCAACTGTAAAGTCGTGTAAAGAAGCTTTGTCTGTCATAACAAAATACATTCCAACTGAAGTGATTTATGATCTTATTGTACAATTTCTGATGCAATGTGCCAGAAGATGTATTGTAACTGTTCTGAAACACTCGAATCGCTCCAGATGCATCTACTACCGGGGTCTTAGCGTGTGTGGTGATTTTTTTATCAAAAGATTGGGGGGAGGTGCAGAATAGCGTTTATGGCGGCCTCTCTCTGCATAAAAGTAACGAAACATATTTTTCTATGATGTACAACGAGAAATGTCGGTGGGCAGATGCGCCTATTGCACACATACCAATGCGGCCTACATACGCAGCATCAAAGGGTGATGGACGGGGGAGGTGGGGTTTTGCCCGAGCATGAGGCACGCTCCCGGGAAACCTCGTGGAGGAGCGTAGTTACGCGGTGCACACTCTACACACGCACTACGCCACACTGCGCTTATTTAGCGGGCAGCATTCAGAACGCCACGGATTAAGCCTCGTGCGTTAAAAATGGCTCTCTCGCATCGCTGAGAGTGGGCGAGCACATCATACTTTGGCTGTTATATGACGGAGGTATGAATAATGCACTTATTTATCCACTGAAGGGAACACAAACACTTGAACGCGTATTTTGATTGCGTATAATAAGAAATTTTGTCAATTTTGATAACAATTTCAATAGAGTTTTTATGTTTCCCTGTGGTGCTTCACACTGCTCATCACTACGGAGATCTCGTGTGGGCTTTTTAACATGGGTTTGTTTCTCACAACCAGGGATTTGGGTCGGGTGAACGAGTAGATTCGGAATTAACGCTGGCCTACTCGGTACTATGCTCTCTCTCTTGGTCTAGTAGGGGTGTATTTACATCAGTACTGAGGCACTTCAAACTGGTGAAATTTTCATTCTCGGTATTCTGGATTGCCATAGAGCGAATAGTAAAGTAATCGTTTCTCGTATGGTAGGAACACAGATATTTTAGTGTTGATAGTGAGAGCACATAGGTGGGATGGTTGAAGGCAAACTGCAATAAAGTATGAAGTTATTAGTATCTGTATCCAGGCTTATTATATTTAATGAAGAGCAAAACAGTGTAAAACATATTAATTTTTGCATGTTTAGTTCTTTAAGAAGACGAGTGATTAAAGGAAAATGTAAGCCATTCACGGCTAAGCTATCGAACTCGCTCTACTACTGGTGGCTTTGCGTGTGTGTGATATCTCTATTTTCTAATATTTTTTTAATTGGGGTGTCAGGGCTATTGAATGTAATAGCGCATTTTGAGGGCCCATACTTTTGTGGTTCAAAGTATACGATTACTAGCATAGATAAAGTATAGCTGCATAAGAATTTTAACTGCTCATTAGCAATCCGGAAAAATGTTCGGTAGCGCATATAAGGAGCAGCTGTTCATGTGTTCAGTAGATCGACTCAGAGATTTTTTACTTGTGTGTGTGTATATTATATAGTGTGACTAAATATATGTATTATCCTGATTACCCTTCTCTTTCAACTCACTTGTATATTCGCGTTGGTTTTTAGCACTATGTGATATCAAGGGGAATTCCCAGAATACGTTAAGATTAAACCATGCTTCACTTCGAAGATATAATGAATTGGCTAATTGTCCTGCTTTTAAGGGCACATTATTCTTTATTTCTCTCTGATGTATTTTGCTTTTTCTTTAGTAATCCTGTGGCGCTCAATATATCTTTTGAAAATTATTTGTCGTATGCTTAAGAGATCGTATAAACAAATATATGTTTGTCTCGTCTGATGTTTGGATAGGATAATATAGTCGTGTCTACACCGTTTGTGACAATATATACAATATAATTTTGAGTAACTAATGGGATTCATTCTTCTCCATAAGTGGAGAAGTTAGTTGTTTGGTTGATCGATCAGGATGGCAATTATCATGTGAATATTTGTTCTAATGTTAACAGTAAACAATAGTCAGTATTTGTTAAGTATTATCCACTTTGACATAGATAGTGAAAGTTACAATATGATTATCTCACAAAGACGCTTGAAATCATGTTTTATAAACACAGTCATATCTATTTCACACTTCGATATTGGAGCCCAAAATTATCTACTGATATTAATATATAATATGAGCGAAACATGTACACGTTGCCTACTTCTATTAATGACAACGGACCCTATTAAACAACTATCAAGAAAAGTCCTGCGACTTTCAATACACGTCAGCATTGTGAATTAGACGCATTAAAAAAAAATACATAAATATAATAACCTTCAACGGGTATGATTACATTTATTTTGACTCACACTGTCACAGGTTAAATATTATTAAAGTTATATTATAAATGTAGGACATAAAACAATTGACACGAATATTTCAGTCTATTTTTTAGATTTATTTTATAGGCAAAGAAGCAATCCTACTTCCTGCTAGTGATATTTATTTTCTCGCAACAATGACACTATTAAATTCATTCATTGAGTTATCTATCTTCGCCATATGTCTTCTTCTTAGTTATGTGTATAATGTAATAAAATACAACATTGATAATTTTCCAAGTACAGGAGATTTGCTCCAATTGGGGCGGGCATATGTAACTTTTTAAACCCGTCCGCATAGAGATGAATATTTCAGGGGCTCAGGAAGGTTAGGGTAGTTTTAGAAATGGAGTATGCGGGGTCGCAACTGTTCGATAGAGGGGGTTAGTGAATGGGGTTGGCGCACATGGTCCTCTTGGTAGGGCCAGATTGGGGGTTCGCGGGGCGGCTCAAGGTGGCGGGGGGTGCGGGGCTGCTGGGGTGCCGGTCGAGCTGGCGACGAACTGGCGCTGGTGCAATCAGATTCATACTCATTCGAACACATTTGCCTTTGCCAAGACCCATTTTCAAGATTGTCTGGCGATCGTGGTCACTCGGGGTAAAATGTTTAACAGCACACGATTGACTTAC